ATTTGTTGGGGAGGTCATAACGCGGATTGGGCAACGGTGTTAAAAAACAATATACTAAAAGGGAAAAGAAAAAAAAAGCGAGCCCCTTCTCTACCAAAAAGCCTCAGCATGCCAGATAAGTTTAAGGCCATACACAATCAAAAGTATTATTTAAAAAAAAACAACAACAAAACTGTATTTAATAATATTCAAGGACTTGAAATAATTCACGTGTATTACACCCATATATAATTAACGCGAATTTTATATACTTCACCAGTATTTGATATACTTCGCGAGTATGTCACCTGTCCCGAGTCCGAAACGTCGGGCCATTTTTATTTGAGTCCGAAATGATGCGGGACCGAAATGACATGTAATCAATACACCATGCGTAAATAAATATAATTCTCAATTGCATGAAAATTCTTAAACCGAGACATAAAAAAATCTCAAGTAATAATCGCATTGTTTGGATTGCTTCATTTAATTAGCCAAGTGAGAGTTCGGTTGTATTTACATACGTTATTCAATTTTAAATAAAATGTTAAACACTTAATTAATTGCTATGGATTAATAAAAAAATGATTAACTGAGTGAGATGTATGAAACTTTATATACCGGTAACAATTATGGAAATTCTTGTATATATACTCAGCCAAATTAAAAACTTGATACTGATGAATTTCAACAAATTTTTTTTTCTGGTAAGTCAAATAAATTTTAAAGTGTTTCTAACGATAGTAAGTAGTAAGAAGCCTTTAATTTCATAAAATTGTTAGAAAATGACGCACCTTTCAAATGTAGAACGTCTACGTGCTATAGGTAGGCTCTATGCTGGTCAGTCTGTGGTCACTGTTGCAAGAGCCTTTAATTGTTCACGCTAGACAATAATTAATCTTAGAATGAGAGTGCTTCAAACTGGAACTATTGCCGACCGCCCAAGGGCGGTAGCGCCACGTGTGACGTCACTACAGGAAGATCAAGCAATACGATTATGTCATCTTAGAAACAGATTTGTCACTGCAACCTCCACAAGTAGAGAGATGTTTGGTGGAAGGGTAACTGCACAAACTGTTCGAAATCGCTTGCAGGCTGCTGGTCTTTGAGCTCGGAGGCCCTATAATGGACCAATATTGACACCTCTTCTCGCCGTAACCGACTTGTGTGGGCAACAAGACACAGAAGATTTACTCAAAGACAGTGGAATTTGGTTGTCTTTAGTGACGAATCTCGATTCACTTTGAGATTTGCCGATGGCAGGGTCTGAGTGTACCGCAGACGAGGTGAACGTTACGCTCAAGTATGCGTCAGAGAAGTTGACCGATTTGGTAGCGGCAGCGTCATGGTTTGGGGTTCTTTTTGTGCACATGGACGTTCTCCTCTTGTTGTTGTCCAAGGGAACTTAAATGCTGTCCAGTACAGGGATCAGATTTTGCAACCTGTTCTTCTTCCGTTTATGCAGAGACATGGGCCTGGACTAACGTTTCAACAAGACAATGCTCGACCCCATACAACAATTGCTACCCAGAATTTTTAAAGAAATGCTGGTGTCCAAGTCCTGGATTGGCCGTTGTTTAGCCCCGACCTTAATCCTATTGAACACATCTGAGACGAACTGGGTCGACGTGTTCGTCAGCAAGTGAATCCACCACTGACGTTGCAGGACCTTCAACATGCTCTTGCTGAGCAGTGACGACGTCTTCCTCGGGTAGTGTTTACTAATGTCCTGAGATCCATGAAAAGACGTTGTGTGGCAGTACGAGACGCTAGAGGAGGCCACAACCGTTACTAAATACTTTATTCCGATTGTTCTCCAAGTCCGTGAATTTCATTTTGGGGGGTACTGGGACATCACGAACGTTATCAATGTCAAGGACTTTCGGCGAGACATATTCTTGCTTTCTGTTGATGTCAAGGTCGTCTGTGCACAACATAACACTAAAATAGTTGCCTTAAACCAAATATTAAAAATCTAGTCCCAAAAATCCTGAGTGTCAAGTTTTTAATTTGGATGAGTATATGATGTAATAAAAACATTAAAGTCAATGATAAAAAAAAATCAGTTCCCGAGAAAAGTATGACAATTCTTTAACAACCAATGGTTTTCTCAAATTAGTTTAAAATTAATACAGATATAAATCATTAAATGGTTACAAAGCTGTGATACCTGACCAAAAGTTGTTACATTTATGTTTTTCTTGATAAAATATTAAAATTAAAATGAAAAAGACCGAGAATAAGCTTACGGTCACATACATGTATAATTGTTTTAACTCGTCCACACAAATCAGAATTCATGTCATTGCACCTAGAATTCCGTATAAGAATCAGCTTAGAATACCAAAATGTGAATCGTAACACATTGTGTCATAAAATAAATGATAAATCAATGAAACCTGTTTGAAGTTGGTAATGTTGGTTTATTTAAGGCGACACATAGTCTTAACAATTGAATACAACACGTCTCGAAAAATCGGCTACGTGCAAATGTGTTCTTTGATCTCATATCACGGGGCAATTCTGTGACCCACCTGCATGAACCTAAAAACATTACAAGTTCTGCCATGATAATTTTGTTGTACTTCTCGCGAACCGACGAATCAGATATATTTAAGTGTTTGACATCGCTTTATTTAACGTCCGCTTCCACCGAGGCGATATTGGAGACAATAACATGTTATGTATACATTTCTAAACGCCTCTCGAAGAAATTAAATGGTGTACCATTAAATTAAATCATAGTACTAATTAAACGATTTTTGTAATTTCCAAACGATTTTTATCAAAATCAAATGATGTTTTGAAATTAAACTATATGCATAGTTTTTAGCGCTATAAACCTCTTATTAGACGATACGAGGATTACAGTGAGAGCGTCCTCAAGATTTTTCAAAGTGATCAACTGACCGTATTTATCGGAAATCGCTGAAAATCAATAGGCTTCTTTGTCTCATGACCTTAAACACTGTGTATAAATTTAAAGTCAATGGGATATTAACTTTGACCTCTAGAGCGTCCACAAGATTTTTTGAAGTGATCAAGGGCCATAACTCTGGCAGTAATTATCGAAAATCGTTGAAAATCAATAGGCTTCTTCGTCTCATGACCTTAAACACTGTGAATAAATTTAAAGTCAATCGGATATTCACTTTGACCTCTAGAGCGTCCACAAGATTTTTTGAAGTGATCAAGGGCCATAACTCTGGCAGTAATTATCGGAAATCGCTGAAAACCAATAGGCTTCTTTGTCTCATGACCTTAAACACTGTGTATAAATTTAAAGTCAATCGGATATTAACTTTAGCCTATAGTGCGTCCACAAGCAATTGTGGACGCCGGACCGCTGGACAGACGGACGGGGGCGACAACAATATATGACCACATTTCAATTTGGCTGTATAAAAATCGGTAAATCACGTCCCAGATAATTATACAACTGGAAATCAGTAAATCACATCCCAGGTAATGTAACTTTTTTAAATCACAAATGAATTAATGTAGTCTTCCATTAAATTAAACCATAGTACTAATTAAACCATTTTTGTAATTTCCAAACGATTTTTATCAATTACCAAACGATGTTTTGAAATTAAACTATATGCATAGTTTTTAACGCTAAAAACCCCTTATTAAACGATACAAGGGTTACAGTGTTATTAGACGAGTCGTTTAGTTTCTCCCGAGATACGTTAAAAAATAAACACACTGTTAATTTATATACGGAGATGAAACGTTTAATTTCCCGCGAGTCGTTTATCCGATCGGTTCATTTTGATTACGATTATTTACATATGAAGTATGAATAAAAAAGGTGAATATAAAAAATTGCACACCCATAGATGATCACCTTACCGTGGTTGTAGTATTATTTATTATCCTTTATCCTATAAAATTAGTATTCCACCATTGACAAATACATCAAAAATCGGTAAATCACATCCCAGATAATTATACAATTGGAAATTGGTAAATCCCATCCCAGGTAATGTACCTTTTTTAAATCACAAATGAATTAACGTAGTCTTCCATCTGTACACGTGGCTAGAAGTCAACCTCACTATGATTGAACATAACACTTGCGCCAAAACAAAGTCACTGTCAATCTCTATAGACAAGCTATCGCCCATGTTCAGACAGGGTTATTGGAATGGGTTCAAGCAGGAAATAGGCTTCAATGATGTTACGTAATCACTTGATTGGAGGCAATAAAATGCAGAACGATTTTTGTTATACCTGGATCAAATGATATTGCATTAAATCAACATTTACACTGTGTCTCTATATATGTACTCGTATGGTATTATAAAATAATGTGTGTTGGGGAGGTATCCATGAAAATGGCAAAAAACAATGAGTTTTCTTGGAAATTCTATTAGTACAAGGTAGAACGATTTATCGATAATCCTACCAGTAGATAGAAAGTAGAGGTTATAATCGACATTGCGACACCATTTACCTTCAAACGAGATTTTATAATTTTCGGTAAATTCTTTGAAGAAGTCAACAACAAGTTCTAACATACAACAATTCGGACGTAAAAAGTAAATATTTACTTCAGTGCGCTACTCCGTCGATCTAAAATTCATTTTATACATTCAAAAATGTTACAGTTGCAAAAGATGGTAGACCTGGATAATCGCGTCTTAGCGGGAATTCCTTCTGAAGTCTTATTTAGATAGACGTCAATGACCCAGTGAAACTGCTGCTAGACACAGCCATCATTGTCTACAGCGGATGACGTGAACGGTGTGTACAACGTCATAATTTATTCAAGAACTGATCTAGGTCGGAGAAACGGTTAATTGTGTTTCCTCTGGGTTATTATACACAAGGAACAAGAGTGCAAAGTCTTAATAAGATTGGTGTTGAAAAGTTAGTGCGTATCTTAGACTACTCAACGCCTTAAAATACAATTTACCAAATTAAGATATAAGAAAATATATCTAAGATCATAATTATTATAATATTCTGAAATTATGACTGACAACAATCATTTGCCAATAATTACCAGCAATTACCTTTTTTTGTACTAAGAAACTGTTTTAATTCTTTGTTCAATAAAGGTGATTTATTCTGAAAAACAAAAGATAAGATACTGTACATAATTAAAGCTTATGTAAATAAATGTAAAATGCTGAATTTGAAACCAACTAGTACGCTCAGTAAATTTACCAAGTCTGCTGATTTATTTCTTTCCTTCAACTAATAAGGTGACGCAATGTGTGGAAATATGCTCCTACAGTAGATAATCTTAAAGGAAAACTTGGATGTTGACCAAATACAACAAGCCAACAGTGAGGCTGATGTCCCCATACCGAAATCAAAAAATAAATAGATGACAAATATTAATTAATTGCACATTTATCTTTTTCAAATCTATCGAGCAATCAAACTGATTATCTATACTTATGTCTTAGTCTAAGCATAAAATGTTCACGATAAAACTCAATCAAGGTTTTGAAGTACCTGGTAATGCAACTATACACAAAGTTTCATCACTCTCCATCAGTTAGAATTGTAGAATCCAAGTTTTTATGAGAATAAGGACTGGATCCACAAGGCTACGGCATATTTGTGATGTCACGTGGTTAATGCGGATAAACACGAGTCACGAGCCCGGCAGTAAAATAAGAAGTAAATGAAACGATTTTTACTTTTATGAAGTGACAAAAGTATTTTTTTAAGACATATATACATTACAATGATTAATTCAAGTTCAACTACAGAGTAATTGTATACAGGGATTACATGAAAGACGGGTTTTTGTTTTGAGTAAAATTATGATTCCTAAATGATGAAATGAAAGTAGCTAAATACTAAAATAGACAGTAACAAATCCAAGCGATATCATTCAATATTTCCGATTTATATGAATAAAAAGATGAAATACTTGGATAACTGCAAAATCGGTTTTTCCGTGTGAGATTTCAAATTACGTTTTGAGTGGACAATTCCGTGATTTCCGCGTTTTTTCCGCGATCACGGGAAATCATCACCCCTATACGAAGTCTCAACCAATCAAATTGCTTATCTCTGCTTAGCCTTGGTGGAAAATGCACATGATTGCACTCTGTCAAGGCATGATCACCTAATAGACACTTACACAAAGTTTGAACATTCTACCTCAATTAGAAGCAGAGTTATTGTCTTCCAAAGTCTTGACCAATCAGATTGAAGTCTCTACTTTGCCTAAGTAGAAAATGCTGAGCATCAAACTTTGTTAACCCGTTAAGTGTGTAGCTTTTAAAACGTTGACTACCCCCTATTGTGTAATTAATTTGACAAAAAACGTCATTTTTGGACCTTTTTATTCCTGAATACAAATGATAGTAGTCTGAAACGAGATTAAAACTAATGGTAAATAGAGTTGTCTCCCTTCAATTAGATTTTCTCGACCAGTCGTAATATAACGTCCTACGCATGCTGCGATCGTATGTTCGAAGAATAGGTTGGGGAAAATACCTCCAAGGCGTTATATTACGCCCTACACACAGTGAGTGGCAGTTGTCCAGGACGTTATATACGTCCTACGCAGTTACAAAATGAAATGAAATGAAATGGGGTTTAACGTCCTACTGTTCTGCTCCTAACCTGGGATAATGAAGACGGGCATACGCCATACAGTGTGCTATGAGGTAAATTTTGCCCGGGCAGCGGCACTACGGCCTACTCTTATATCGAATTCCAACTGCCAAGGGATCTTTTACGTGCACGCCAATGTGTACACGGGACCTCGGTTTTTCGTCCCATCCGAACGACTAGACAGCTTTCCTTGTCAGCCCCTCCGTCCTGCATCACTGACAAGGGAGAACCACGCCGGAAAATCTGGATGAACTTTCTCGGCCAATGCAGGGATCGAACACCCGACCTCCAGGCTAGCGAGCTAGCGTCTTACCCACTTAGCCACGTGATCCCCCTACGCAGTTACAGGTTAAGGTATTGATGTAATGTAACTAGTGATGGCACGCTATGGCACGCTGTGTTTTTGAAGTAACAAGCCAACAGTGAGGCTGATGTCCCCCGCCGAAATCCTCAAATAAATAGATGACACATATTAATAAATCGCACATCTATTTTTTTCAAGTGTCAAGCAATCAAACTGATTATCAACTATACACTAAGTTTCATCACTCTCTATCAGATAGAATCAAAGTTAATTTGTCCCAAAGCATCGACCAAGGAAATTGCTTACATGTATCTCTGCTTAGCTTTAGCTCGATATGTTAATCATTGAACTCAGTTAAGACGAACATCTATATTAAGTTTAAACATACTACCTCAATTAGAAGCAGAGTTTTTGTGTTCCAAAGTCTTGACCAATGAAAATGCTTTTTGCTCCTTAGCCTAAGCAGAAAATTCTCATCATCGAACTTAGTCAAGGTATTGATGTAATGAAACTATACACAAAGTTTCATCACTCTCACTTAATTAGAACTAAGTTATCGTGTCCCAAAGCATCAACCAATCAAATTGGTTATCTCTGCTTACCCTAAGCTGAAAATGCTCATCTTCACACTCCATCAAGGCATTGACCTCATAAACACCTACACCAAGTTTGTAGATTCTAACTCCATTAGAAGGAGAGTTATTGTGTTCCAAAGTCTCGGCCAATCAAATTGCTTATCGCTCTGCTTACCCGGAGCAGAAAATGCTCATTATCGAACTTAATCAAGGTATTGATGTAATGAAACTATACACCAAGTTTCATCCCTCTCACTTAAAGATACATTATGGAAGATTCGATAACGAGTTGGCAGTTCTCACTATAATAATTAAAAAATGCTCATCTTCGAACTCCATCAAGGCATTGACCTAATCAACACATACACCAAGTTTGAATATTCTAGCTCAATTAGGAAGAGAGTTATCGTGCCCCAAAGTATCAACCAATCAAATTGCTTATCTCTGCTTACCCTAAGCGGAAAATGCTCATCTTCGAACTCCATCAAGGCATTGACCTAATAAACACATACACCAAGTTTGAACATTCTAGCTCAATTAAAAGTTATCGTGTCCCAAAGCATCAACCAATCAAATTGCTTATCTCTGCTTACCCTAAGCGGAAAATGCTCATCTTCGAACTCCATCAAGGCATTGACCTAACCAACACATACACCAAGTTTGAACATTCTAGCCCAATTAGGAAGAGAGTTATCGTGTCCCAAAGCATCAACCAATCAAATTGCTTATCTCTGCTTACCCTAAGCCGAAAATGCTCATCTTCGAACTCCATCAAGGCATTGACCTAATAAACACCTACACCAAGTTTGAACATTCTAGGTCAATTAGAAGGAGAGTTATTGTGTCCCAAAAAGTGTGACGGACGGACAGGCCTACAACTGTAATTAAACAGAATATTCATAATAAAACACACACGTTTTGTTTTTTCACGCGAGACGCCACCAGTGAGTAATTTTGGTCGCTTATGTCATGATGAGAGCCAATGGTTTCACGTAACATTCAGTTGTGCCCCTTATTTTGACTCTTCATTTCTTTCGTCTTCTCTGTTTCTAAGTCAAACACGTACTTTCCCTTTATTAGTTTATCGAGGAATTTGCGAAGAAATATTTGTCTGAGGAGGAAATAACTACATTTCACCCAGACAAATTTACGGTTTTGATGTCATGAATGGTGTCATACTTTTTGTTTTACAATCAATTTTAAATGTACTCATCCAGATGCTCTGAAAATACACCAAGAAGGGTTGAGTTTTCATAAAAGACCACGCCCCCCTCCCAAAAAAATGTTTTCCTTGCTCCGCTCCTGGGCACATCCCTGGGTGGCGGTTCTGTCTTCCAAACCAAGTTGATCGAGTTTTTTTTCTACACCTTGGTTTTGAAATGGAATGCTATTATTTTATTGACAAATGTCAAATAAATGAAAAAAATTCTACATGTATACAGAATGACATCACACTATAAAATCGCATATAATTCGTTATTCATATACAAATTATGATTGTTTTCAAACCAATTGTAAGTCAATATAATTTGCCGATATTATCAATTATTGATCGGTGGATAGTTGGTGATAATCGAAACTTGAAACAGGATAGATTGCCAGCCCTAGTGACAACCATAATTGAAATTGCTTTAAAATAAAATTCCGTGAAATTATGCCATATAGCGTTCAAAAATAATAACGACACTATCAGCATGTGTATAAAATAAAAAATCATAATGGTAAACGCTATTTAAAACTTAAGCTAGCAATGCTGGTTTATTGACCTTATTCCAACCGATGTCATCAGGGTATTCGGCATTGGAGATTCTGTCGAAAAAAATAGATTATTAATGACTGTTTCTTGGTGTATTCGGTGTTCTATCCTAGGATTATATTCAACTAAGATATAAATTTAACTAACAACTGGTCAGCGAAATTATTATATATCCAAAGGATATATGCGAGCTGTTGGTCAGCAACCAAGAAGATATTTATCCCGCTCATATTATGAACTTGATGAAGATTAAGAATAAACTAATATCTAAACATGTCTCTGATTTACTGTGTTTTTTATGTACGTTTCCAGATCTCTTGAAAAGTACCATCATAATTTAATATATTGAATGTCGAAATGGGTAATGAATGAAGAAGCTAACAAGAAACCATTTTTAAACCAAATGATTTCTGTCCACAAAGATAGGTTGCCAGGAAACGAAACATACGCCCACAGCAGCTAAATCATCTGGGCAGTCAACAAGTGTTGTCGCATATTTTTACTTTTTTCGGTAATGAAACATTTTTGATACACTAAAATCTGATTAAGAGTAACAACTCATGAAGTAATTATCAGAAAACCATTAGAATTTGTTTGGTTTTTATAAAGTTCTGCCACACGCTAACATTTAGTATAGGAAACTTTTAATATCATGGATTTGGCTGTTCAAGTCATAAAAATTCACTGAAAATCAATGTACCTGTTCGTCTCAAGATCTTAAACTCTGTGTATCAATCTGAAGTCAATCGGATGATAACTTTAGACTCTAGAGTGTCACAAGATATTTGAAAGTGATCAAGGGCCATAACTCTGGCAGTGATTATCGAAAATCGCTGAAAATGAATAGACTTCTTCGTCTCAAGACCTTAAACACTGTGCATAAATTTAAAGTCAATCAGATAATAACTTTAGCCTACAAGATTTTTCAAAGTGATCAAGGGCCATAACTCTGGCAGTAATTATCGCAAATCGCTGAAAATCAATAGGCTTCTTCGTCCCAAGACCTTAAACACTGTGTATAAATTTAAAGTCAATCAAATATTGTGTGGGCACAGGCATTGTCATGCTGGAAAACGTTGTTTCGATGACGTGCGAAATGTGGTATGACGAGGGGTCTGAAAGCTTGATTGATGTAACGCACTGTTGAGATGCCACCTCCTCTACCTGGACCAAGATTTTGAACACCACAGGACCCACTCTCTGGTTCAGACCGATTCCACCCCAAACCATTATGCTTGGACTTTCCCATGAGTCTCGTTCCATGACACATTGGTCAGAATAACACTGGCCACGTCGACGCCATATTCTGGTCCTGCCATCTGCAGTTGATACGCAATACCGACTCATCTGTGAACAGAATAGTTCTCCATTGTCTGTCGCCAGTTGTTGGGCAAACTGTAGGCGTTCACATCGATGGCGAGGGGTGAGGATCGGTCCACGGTAAGGTCTACGGCAATGGATGTTCTCTCTGGTGAGACTTCGGCGCACTGTATCGGTACTGATAGGTCTTCTATGTGTTCCCACTGTCTGATGTGCTGTCTCACATGCCTGTATAAAGGGATTCTGCATGTGCTGTCACACAACATGGCGGCCTTGTGGTAACCCTTGGTCTACCAGTTCGGGGCGATCATCCGGGGTTTGGTGGCCCGAAAGCGTTTCATTTTATACAGCTGGTCCCGGTGATCAGCATGTGCAGCAAGAGTTACGTGAAAATCATGGAGAACACATTACCATCTCAGAAGTCAGGTTGCGTTTTTAAGAATATTTCCTGGATTCAATTCTGTGTTTGGGAAGGAGCCTTATTGCTCAGGTAAAGTTCGAGATGTCACAAATATACAATAAAAACAATTAGCAAGTTTTATACAATTGAGTCTATTCAGAGTAACATACCAACCTGACATTTCTTTTGCTGCTTAGTATATATCATTAAGATCTTGAATAGCTACAACACGAGTAGCCACAACAGTGGGAGTATAAAAATTATTATAACCAGGAATTTTCCCATTGAGAAATACTCAAATCTGATATGGGACATGTAAAGCGACAAGTGTGTAAATATTAAGAAAATAACCAGCGGCTGCCAGGCAGGATACGCCCACATTTTCGAGAGATGGATAGGGAACAAGCTAAAAAGAAAGTGATTTTTCGTACAATCAGGGGACATAATTCAGGAAGTTACGGTCCGATATGCACGAATATCGAAAGGAACCGAGATCTTTGGGTTATAAACTTATATTTAAAGTTTCAACAAAATCGGATAAAAATTGTGACCTCTATAGTGTCCACAACCATGATATACCATATTTTTACGATATTTGAGAACGAAGGGCGGCCATTTTGTTTGTCAGTATTGGGCCATTTTCAGGAAATTCGAGCTCAGTTGTCCTTAGGGTCTAACGGTGATATAATAATAAGTTTTTTTAAATCAGATAAAAATTATGACCTCTATGGGCTCCACAAGCTAAAATCGCGATTTTTCGTACAATCAGGGGCCATAATTCAGGAAGTTATGTACCGATATACGCGAATATGGAAAGGAATCACGAACTTTGGGTTATAAACTTACATTTCAAGTTTCAACAAAATCGGATAAAAATTGTGACTTCTATAGGGTCCACAACCTTGATATACCATATTTTTACGCTATTTGAGAACAAGGGGCGACAATTTTGTCTGTCAGTTTTGGGCCGATTTTCACGAAATTCGAACTCAGTTGTCCTTAGGTTATAATAATATGTTTTTTTAAATCCGATAAAAATTATGACCTCTAAAGGGTCCATAAGCTAAAAACGCAATTTTTCGTACAATCAGGGGCCATAATTCAGGAAGTTATGGTCCGATATGCGCGAATATCAAAAGGAACCAAGATCTTTGGGTTATAAACTTACATTCAAAGTTTCAACAAAATCGGATAAAAATTTTGACCTCTATAGGGTCCACAACCTTGATATACCATATTTTTACGCTATTTGAGAACGAAGAGCGGCCATTTTGTCCGTCAGTTTTGGGCCAATTCGAACTCAGCCGTCCTGAGGGTTTAACGGTGATATAATAATACGTTTTTTTAAATCGGATAAAAATTATAACCTCTATAGGGTCCACAAGCTAAAAACGCGATTTTTCGTACAATCAGGGGCCATAATTCAGGAAGTTACTGTCCGATATGCGCGAATATTGAAATGAACCGAGATCTTTGGGTTATAATCATACATTTCAAGTTTAAACTAAATCGGATAAAAATTGTGACCTCTAGTGTTCACAAGCTAAAAACATGATTTTTCGTACAATCAGGGGCTATAATCCATGAAGTTACAGTCCGATACATGCCAATATCTTAGGGTGATAACCCTATATTTCAAGTTTCATTGAAATCGGATAAAAATTGTGACCTGTAGGCTGTTCACAAACAATTGTGGACGGACGGACGTCCAGACGGACGGACAGAGGCGACGACAATATACGTCCACATGAAAATGTGGGCATATAAAAACCAACCTGTAGTTTCTCTTGTTCTTCTAAGGCTAAAAACACATTAGCTCGTAGTTGGGCCTTCAAAAGAAAACAAAAAGCAGTTGTCATAAGATATGCAATATTTTTTAAGAGATGGACGGAGAAGGGCCTAATCCTTTACAACGAATTTGAAACCAGCGGTTGCCAGGCAAGGTACGCCCACATTTTGCAAGAGATGGATAGAGAACAAGTTAAATAAAAAGCGATTTTTCGTACAATTAGAGGCAATAATCAACGAAGTTATGGTCTGGAATGCGTGAATATCAAAATGCCCCAAGATATTTGGGATATAAAGATTTATTTTAAGTTTCATCAAAATCGGATAAAATTTTTGAACTTCTAGAAAGTCTACAACCTTGGTATTACACACTTTTACTCCATTTACGTACAAAGAGCGTCCATTTTGTCGGGCAGTTAAGGTCCGAAATGTGCAAATATAAAAAGGAACCAAGATCTTTGGATTATAATAATAGATTTCAAGTTTCATCAAATCAGATAAAAATTGTGACTCTCTAGAGTGTCCACAACCATGATATTACATACTTTTACACTATTTGCGTACAAGGAGTAGCCATTTTCTGGGCGTATAAAAAAAAAATAGGTTCAAAACTATAGCCTTTCCCATTCACAAGATTTCCGGTGAAGAGAGGTAACTGCACAACGGAATATCTACGCATACTGCAGATCGATAACATTCGTCCTCTATTGAGCCCGATACTTCACACCAAATTTAAAATAATTTTTGTTTAAACCGTAACCTCTATCGCCTTCAGATGGTTTTCTGCAAAGGGGTAACTCCGGAACAAAGAAGGTCACGGAACGCTGAATATTGATAGGTTTCATCCTCTTATGACCCCAATGCTTCACACCAAGGTTCTAATATATCAGGGGGGTTGGATGGCCGAATGGTTAGCATGTGCGCATTGTATCATAAGGTTTGTCATTGAATCAACTGGTGGGATTCCCCGGTTGTACGTGACAAGGAGTAGCGACGTCTGTCCAACCTCGTGGATCTTCTCCGGGTCCTCCGGTTTCCTGCCACTGCTAAAGACCTCTACGCGAAAGGGAACAAGCCAACAGTGAGGCTGATGTCCCCCGCCGAAATAGGAAAATAATTAGAGGACACATATAAATTTATCACAAATTATCTTTTACAAAGTATTGAACAATCAAACAGTATATCTTTACTTATAGTCTAAGCATACAATGTTTTTGATGGAATAATTATAGCATATTAAGGGGAAAACATGCTCTATGCCTACAGATCTAGAGTTTGGTTGTATCAACGGGTCTATTTTCCATCTTGCTGCAAGTTGTGCAAAGTTCACTGTTTTCTTTCTGTCATTAAATGTCAATTCATTATTGCATACTACATATTTAATTAATTTATAATAGTTTCTTTTTCAATTTTTTTTTTCCATTTATTTGTTTATTTACCTTGCCTATATTCATTGTATTGGATTGTATTGGAATTGCTCAATTGATGCTTTTATCAATACCTGGTTATAATATTATGACATGTAATGTGGCAAGTTGAGTCGGGACATGTAGGCTATAATGTAACCTAAATGTATACATAAGTGGATTTCGTTTCATTTTTTTCGAAAATATTGTACAGAAAAAAGAGGAGGAATTACAGGGGTAATACATTGGAAAGCTTCTTCAAGAACTAAAGCATAAACTATATAAACGAGCTTCCAATCAAATTGTTTATCTCTGCTTACCCTAAGCGGAACGGACAGACAAACAGACAGACGGACGAACCCATTTTAATAGTTCCCTGCTTTCTTCGAAAGGCGGGGGACAATAAGCATGAACATTTACTCAATTCGAAGATCAACCAATCAAATTGTTTATCTCTGCTTACCATAAGTGGAACGGACAGACAGACAAACAGACAGACGGACGAACCCATTTTAATAGTTCCCTGCTTTCTTCGAAAGGCGGGGGACAATCAAAGTAGGAGAGTTATTGTTTTCCAAAGTCTCGACCAATCAAATTGCGTATCGCTCTGCTTACCCTGAGCAGAAAATGCTCATTATCAAACTTAGTCAAGGTATTACTGTAATGAAACTATACACCAAGTTTCATCAATCTCACTTAATTAGAACTAAAGTTATCGTGTCCCAAAGCATCAACCAATCAAATTGCTTATCTCTGCTTACCCTAAGCGGAAAATGCTCATCTTCGAACTCCATCAAGGCATTGACCTAATCAACACATACACCAAGTTTGAACATCCTAGCTCAATTAATTCATGTTGAATTTCAGAAACATTTCTGTTAAAAGTTGATTCAAGATGTACTGTTATAATTTAGTATCTAGCATGTTAGATATTTTCAAATAAATATTTTTCGATGGCGATCAACTTCGCTTGTGTGCCGATGTCCAGCATATATTGTCACAGGAACGATTTTTATTAACCAATCGGAGACATGACTGATATCACATGATCTCAAAATGACTGCCTCCACTGCCGAAGTGTGGAACCTAACTCCTGTACCACAAGTTGCGATTTGTCCAACGAGCCCTTCCAGGTATTCTGCATTTTATTTTGATCAAATAAATAGCAAGCTACATCAGCGTTCTTACGATTTCGGCGATTCACCATTTAGAACAATTGATATCATCGACGTAATTTACTCACAGAATGGCATACACTCTCAAGACGATCGCTACGTGTATCCGTTCGTGATCAGCCAAAAAAAATTGCTGGCGAATTTTAATCAGCGCGATCAGGCGAAAAAATACACTCATCTGCCCTTTTCGATAGTCTCAACTACATGAAGATTTAGTTAATGCATTCCTATCGGCTCTGCTCTCTATTCGTTACAGCCCGATGCTATAGGCATCTAATATGAAAATAATGATTTTTCCCAACCAGGGTTCTAAGGCAAGGTTCGAATTTTGCTCCTTTAAAAGACCAGCGGCTGCAAGGCAGGATACCCCCACATTTGCGAGAGATGGATAGAGAACAAGCTAAAAAGAAAGTGATTTTTTTCTACAATCAAGGGCCATAATCCATGAAGTTACAATTCGATATGCGCAAATATCGAAAGGAACCAAGATCTTTGGGTTATAAACATGTATTTCAAGTTTCATCAAAATCGGAGCAAAATTATGTCCTCTCCCTTGATATACCATATATTTACAATATTTGCGTAAGAGGGGCAGCCATTTTGTCCGGCAGTTTTGGTCCGATTTGTACGAAATTTGGACTCAACCATCATAAGGGTGTAACAGTGATATATTCAAACGTTTTTTTAAATCAGATAAAAATTGTGACATCTAGAGGGATCACATCCTAAAAAAAATCCAATATACGCGAATATTGAAAGATCTCTGGGTTTACACCTATCCTCAGCATGTCAATTCCTCCAGCTTCCAGAAGTATTAAGTATTGGGGAGCAATAATGCGATAAATCTGAATGCAAGAGGATCAACACAACTGAAAGACTGTGGGTGGGATTAGGTGGGGAAAATCGACTAAAAAGCGGGGAATAGTATAGTGTGCATATCCCATGTTCACCAGTACAACTTAACTCTAGACCTAATAAACGGAAATTGCTAAAATTCAATAGGGTTCTTCGTTTCACCAATCTAAATAATGCATGTAAATTTCAGAAAGATCGGATGGTAACTTTTTGAGTTAGAGCGTTCACAAGGTTCAATAAAGTGAAACAAGGGCCATAACTCTAGACGTAATAAACGGAAATTGCTGAAATTCAATAGGCGTCTTCGTTTCACTAATTTAAATAATGCATGTAAATTTCAGAAAGATCGGATGATAACTTTTGGAGTTAGAGCGTTCACCAGGTTCAATAAAGTGAAACAAGGGCCATAACTCTAGATGTAATAAACAGAAATTGTTGAAATTCAATAGGCTTCTTCGTTTTAATAACTTAAATATTGCATATAAATTTCACAAAGATCGTATGTTAACTTTTGGCATTAGAGCGTTCACAAGGTTCAACAAAGTGAAACAAGGGCCATAACTCTAGACGTAATAAACGGAAATTATTGAAATTAAATAGGCTTGTTTATCTCACTAATGAAAACAACATATATCAATTTTAAAACAATTGGATGATAAATTTTGGCGTTAGAGCGTTCACAAGAAATTGTCATAAATATAGATAATAAATACACTATACAGCAGTGGAAATTAGCCGACGGCAATAAACTATAATAAAGCTAATGTTTTGAGAATCGTTAAATGTTAAAAACACTTGCGCAGTGTCCGCAGCCGTTTTTCACTGCATCGTGTATGCACTACTTTTACTTTGTTTTAGTCGACAATAAATTGTCAGTTGTTACTACATGTAAAGCTTAGGCCTACTAAACGCCTGAAATTTCTCACTACCGCGGATTTTAATCAGGCTATAAATATGCTGTCATATTTTTAAAAGATAGGTTGCCAGGCAACGAAAGGCAACGAAACATACGTCCACAGCAGCTAAATCGTCCGGGCAGGCCACAAGAGTTGTCGCATATTTTTACTTTCTTTCGGTGATGAAAAATTTATAATACACTAAAATCTGATTAAGAGTAACAACTCATGAAGTAATTATCAGAAAATCATTAGAATTTGTTTGGTTTTTATAAAGTTCTGCCCCAAGCTAACGTTGGTTTTATTTTATTTGTATACGAAACATTTAATATCATGGATTTAGCCGTTAAAATTATCAAAATTCATTGAAAATCAATATACTTGTTTGTCTCAAGACCTTAAACACTGTATAGATTTAAAGTCAATCGTATATTAACTTTGTCCTCTAGAGCATCCACAAGATATTTCGAAGTGATCAAGTACCATAACTCTGGCAGTAATTATTAGTAATCACTGAAAATCAATAGGATTCTTCGTCTCATGACCTTAAACACAGTGTATAAATTTAAAGTCAATCGGATATTAAATTTGGCTTCTAGAGCGTCCACGAATTTTGTGGAAGTGATCAAGGGCCATAACTCTGGCAGTAATTATCGGAAATCGCTGAAAATCAATAGACTTTTTCGTCTCATGACCTTAAACACTGTGT